CCCCCCTTGCTATTTTCCACCCTACCGGCAACTATAATAGATCTGAGCATTTAAGCAATAATGAAGCGAATCGATCTGCCCAAACTCTGCATTAAAGAGGACACAACACTTTATGTCCCTGAGCTAATGGACATCAATTTGGAACTTAAAAGGCAACAAATGCATCTAAACATGGGAAAGGGGATGGCGAGACACTATTTTTTCTCTCTTTCTTTTTTTTTTCTTCTCTTTTTTTTTTCCCCTGATTGAGGAAACAGCACTTAAACAAGTAATATATCATCAGGGGAAAAAAAATTTCCTCAGGCAGACTTTTCATTATGTGCGGGTTTCATTAAAAATGTAACTCTCCCCTTTCAAATATTTAAACACTTTTATATTATTTAACTGCGGAGCGGGCAGCTAGCGAGAGATGGATTTGCGGGTGGGTGTGGAAACGTGCGCGTGTAAAGTCATCCAGATCTGGGCTAGGGGAGAGTTCCCTGTGCATGTAGGGGGAAGACAGAGATAAATCGTTGCTACTGAGTGACATGCAAACTGGAATATGCAAAAAAAAAGGAGGGGGGGTGCTGTATTCGGGTTTAAATATGGAGTAAATCTTGGGATTTTTTTTTTTTTTGGTGGGGGGGATTATGAAGGGGAGAAACGGGCTAACGGGCTCAGGGGGAACTGCTCCAGCGCCTGAAGTTTCGGTGCGTGTTGGGAGCCGCTCGCCGCCTCTCGCCGTGCCCAACTTCCCCGCTGCAAGTTTGGTCTCTAACGTCCTGCTCCGCGCGCGCGCTCGCTCCCTCTGGCGCGAACAAATAAGAAAGGGGGGGAGGAGATTGATTTATTTATTTCTGTAAAAGAGTAAACTCACTATTGCAAGAGTTCATCCGCTGCATCCAGGGGTAAACCGGTGCGGAACACTTTTGCTCCTCGCTCTCTCCGAACACACTTTTGCTCTGCGCGCAGTCCGACTTGCGCGGCTCGGGGGCGAAGGGCACCTCGTCCAGGTTGGAGGGCGCGCACGCAGGGTCCTTGTCGCGGAAAAACCCGCCGGCCCCATAGTCACAGGCGGAGCCGCGGCCGTAGGCTCCGTTGCCTTGCTGGTAGTAGGCGGAGGACGCATAGCCCTTCTCCTGCACGCCCGTGCCGCCGTAGGTGCTGGGATAGTGCCTCAAAGGATCCGCATAGCCCGAGGGATATAACGGGATCTGTCCCAGGAAGGGCTCCTGCCCCGCCGCCAGACTCACCGGGAAGGTCGAGTTGACAAAATAAGAACTCATTGGAAGGAGCCTGCCGTCCTTTCCCGGCTTTATGATTTGTTGTGTTTTATAGTCCAAGTGGTTTAGCTATTAGTAGTATATCGGAGATTGGGTTTTAGCTGAAGGGAGATGGCGTGGTGCCAGCGAGGGACACAAGGAAATACAACCATCTGATCAGGGGCTGACCAATAGCAGGCGCCTGAGGTTGCAAAATAGCACCCATGAGGAGCTGAGATTGCACCAGGGACCCCAAGAACAAACCTTCCACCCCCTTTTCTCCCTCCCTTCTAAACAACAGAAAGGCACCCCCTTAACCAAATACATTATATCTGCGGCAAGAAACATTCTCGGCGCGCTTGGCGCTTCGTAAATAAATAAATAAACGCCCCCCCCGCCCCCCATGGGGGGTGTGAGAGCCTGGTGTGTGCGCGCATATGTATTTACACACATGTAATATATACAAATACCTGGGACAAGTGGGAGAAAAGTTAATTATTTTCATTAGAAAAACTTTAACCCCTGGTGTTTGCAAATCATTCCCAAATGATAATTTTCTACAGTAGAAAAAAACTTTTCTCTTTTTTTTTGTGTGTGTGTGAACTTCTGCAAAGAGCAGATCCCGTTGATTTGATTAACATTGAATTACTATAGGAGAAGAAATCGTTTTGGACAATTTATTTTTGTTCATGTTTATCTAATTACCATAGATTACCATTCTCTTTTAAAGAAAGCGGCACCTCCTTAAACCAACCATTCGCATTTAATTTACGTTATCTTTTTCCCACTTTTTTTTTTTTTTTTTTTGCAAAAGCTACATATCCGGAAGATAAATGGAAAATCGAAGCATTTCCTTTATCCTTTGCTAAATCCCGATCTGCTCTGGAGTCATGTACCGCATTGTGCCCTCTTGCGTTTTTTTGTTAATACCAAATCTATCCCCGACCTTTTATGGCCAAAAGGAAGCCTTGGGTTACGGTCAAGAGCTGAGTTTATTGATTGGTACCGATCGAGATTTGTTTAAAAGAGCAGAGCTTGTCGCCTGCTGGCTCTGCGCCTGGAAGGTGCGCAGGGATCCTGCGGGTTTGAACCCCTTCCCTCCCGGACCCCTGCCCCGCTTATTTTTTTTCCCAAAGTTAACGCGCTGCAAGACATAAGCTCGGAAGTCTCGAGCAATTTCCCTCCATCCTAGAGCTGCCTTTGGGGCTGGGGTCTCGCTCGGTTCTGCCCGTCTTTCCCAGCGAGGGATGCGCTCTTCGCTACCTGGTGCGTTCCCCTCAAATCCAAATCAAAACCAGGAAACTCCATTTAACGTTCACATTTTGCAAAGGATTTGCTTCCTGGCCGGTTTTGTTGCCATCTGTCTTTTGGGTTTTATACGCAATGAAATGACACGCCGTGTAATGTACGCTCTGAATCTGAGACAGAGTGTGCTACAAATCTAGAATTACATATATTACATAGCCACTGTGGAGCTGCCAATGCGGTTCTCTCTGACGGAGCTCTAAGTATCTACGAAACTGGTATCTTATTACGGCCTAATTTATTTTAAACATCGTGTTTACAGCAGCACAGCCAAGATTGTTTCATGCCACGGCTGCAATGAACATTTCGACTGAAATGTAATCCTTATAATTCAAGGAAATAACACGTAAAGGAAGTAGTTTTCCATCCTCCACCCCCTCTTTGACTGATATCTCTAATATTTGTTCTTGCAGAGTTTCCCTTTGTGTATGGAATGGACCCAAACTTACGCAGATCAGCTTTATCGGTATGCAAGAACAACATGTGAGACTGAAAGAGAATGGGGACTGTAAAAGAAAAAGAAGGAAAGCGAGAAAGAAACAAAAAGAGGAATCCGGAGTTCCCTGCTTTGCAGGAGCCGAACAGCTCGTATATTTGATTACCGAGTTACGCAATTTTTATAGCACCACAAAACCCAGCGATTATCTGGCATGATCAGCTCGGCATGCAAATTTTGGGCTAAGAAATTGGAGGTCCTGATCAATCAATGTGTGAGTACAACCACTGCAAAAGTTTCCTATCATATTTGCTCTCTGGTCTGATTATTACTCTAAAACAAATCCCTCGAAATACTGCGAAAAATATAGTCGCCCCTATTCAATCTTCCCCGAGGTAAAATATTTTTTATTCTAGTACCTTTGCAGGCAAAGATGGCTTTTTTTTTTTTTGCCGAGTTGGCTGTGGACATTTGTTAAGAAAATAAAGCTCACTAATTGACCCTGGCTGCTCGCTAATTGCTTATTGCCGGTATTTTAGAGACGCTGTAGATAAAACCAATATGTCTTTACTCTTAGAAGCAGGGAAAGCTTCGCCTGGCCATATAGGTGGTTTTGAAATATATATTTCGGGGTGAGGGGAGCAGAAAACTTGGGCCCCAACGTGGCAAAAACGCCTGTCACCGAGTTCATCTTCCTGAGGGCCAGGCCCACCGTCTAATAGGCTTGCCACCTATAATCCATGTAAATACCAGCAAAGGTCTTAAATCGCACTAAATCTCCGAGAACTACACGGTTAGCAGAGAGGTGGCTTCTATTTCCATTTTAATAGCTTGGTTAAAAAAAAAAAAAGAATTAAGAGGAGCCTTGTTATTATTATAGCTGTTTAACAGACGCTATCCTGCCTTCCCTGCTAAAGCCCCAAGGAAAAGCTGAGCCTGATTTTGCGAATATATTTTCTTTGGACGCCTCTAGCGCCAGCCAAGACGAGGAGGGACCGAGCCCAAGCTGGCGGCTGAAGCAGCGAGTCTGGACCGGAGCCCTTAAGTTAGACCCGGCCGTGACCGTACCCAGCACCATATCTTTACTCTAGCTTTGGTCTCATCTACCTTAAATTAGTACCAGCGTTTGACAGAGGAGCGATGAACCGGGACAGTTGGGAGAGACATCAGAAGGTGGAATAACACGTTTCATTTTATCCCGGGAATCCGGCTTTCCCCTCCTGACTGACATCGCTCAACCGGCAGGGCATAAATAACGGTAAAGAGACGTAGTAACAGTATGAACATAGCAGCTCTCTGCTGGGGAAGGCTTTACTTTTTGTCACTTTGCTTTTTCTGGCTTGCAAACGCCCACCCCACAAAGCAGAGCCAGGCAGATAGATGAGGGGATTAAAACAACACCTAAATATTTCGAAATGCAAACAGAACAGAGCATAGCTTGTGCTAAAGCTGATCCGGCTGAGGAACTTGGTAGAAAGTTCAGTGCAGTTGCTTCCAATAAAAAATGAAACTCTTTTTTCATGTGGAGCTGGAATTCCCGATGCTTCTGAAGTGAGAACACAGCGGGGGGTTCCCTGCCAAGGGAATTATTGCAGCCATAAACTCAAGCAAACACCACGAAAACACTTGAAAAAAGCCCTTGTTCCTGGAGTCAAACATAGAAAGCCATTGGCGACAGAGAAGCTTCCCTCATACACACCCGAAAACACATCGGAAAAGGGGAAAAGGAGCCCAGCAGAAGCTGCAGTCGTGGCGTGTTTAAAACAATGATCTTGAAGGTGCAAAAATATCCGCGCTCTCTGCCCATAACCGCTTGAAACTTAATTTCCAGCAATTTTAGTTTAATTTACCTGACTTCCCGTGCAGTGCATAATAACCTTGTTAATGGCATCTTTGAAAAGAAGCAATAATAACCTGCCATTGTTCCATTAAAGAGTGCAGCTAATTATTAACCAAAAAAAAAAAAAAAAAGAGGGGAGGGGGGAGGAGGAGAGAGCATGGTGGATAAGGATATTGGAGGAGTCAAAATGCATCCAGGACCGCACGATTTCCGCGAAAGCAAATCCAAAGACCAAGGGAAGGGGGAAGAGCACTGCTGGTGAAATTAATATCGGGTCAACAGAGAGAGGGAAAGCAAAAATGCAAACACGTCTCGTACAATTCGGAAGGCGATTGCTGCAGGGTGTTGGGAATTGGGACGTCGAACAAGTTAATCATGGCTGTTGCTGGTCAAAAGAAGAGAAACTTTTTACCACCCTCTTTTTTTTTAACATAGGCGCTGGACATCTCAGTTTCCTAGAGAAAATGTCACTAGTCTAGACGTAAACAGTTGCCAGGAAACTGCGTGGTAGAAGGAGAAAACGAGAGGGAGCGGGAGAGAGAGAGAGGAGAGACCTTTTAAAATAACAGACGCGCATTGTCCCTTCAAAGCCTACAGTAACTTTAAAGTGATTCGTCGTCTGCCTTTACTCTCGGTTCCCTTCCCCGGCAACCACCTCAATTTTGTGTACACGACTTGACATATCTTTTCCAGATCCCACCGCTCCAAGCAATAAATAAATAAAAGCGCCTCTGCTTTCTATGATGAGCTCAAGCCCCGGCCTCGCCTGCGCCTCGCACCGCAGTTTTTGCACCGCACAAACCCCCGCCTGCGATGCCACATAACAACCCGGGTCCTTTCCGCGCTGCGGAGGGGGCTGCAAGCCCCAGCGCGGGTGCGCGGGGCGATATCGATGCGCACATGGCCGCGGAACGGGCGCGCAACTGTGCGCGGGGAGCGCTATTCGCGCAT